AGAATCTACCTTCTCTCTGCATTCACAGTTGCATATCTTCAGGTCTGAGCTCTAGCTAACCACATATTTTCCAACCATCTCTCTTTCACTCCTTTCTTGAAAGCTGTTTAGCTTCACAAGTTTGTAACCATATACTTGGTCTCACCTTTGACTTGTAGTTTAGATATTAGATCTAGAGGAGAGAGCCACCTAAAGATCTTTTGGTTTTCTTTTTGGACAAGATCCAAGATGCAGCTTTTTCTATCCACCCACATGTGAAACCTTGCAAGATAAGGGAGGTCTGGCCTGCAACTCAGTTACAGTTGACTTCTGGATGCAATCTTCCCCTCTTCAGAATGACTGACAATCATCTACTCCAGGAAATTATCATCTCGTTTAGACACCACCCTCCTCTATATTGCTGCTCCAAGGTCTTCTGTTTCCCCATCAGTGCAGAGGGCAAAGAGGGGGGGGGGGGGGGGGGCAGTGTCAGGTGGAAACCAAGTTTGGCTAACACTATCTATTCATTCACATTTTACACACCTTCTCCTAGGTTTTGTTTTGAGTAGGACAAACTACCAATACACTTCAACCATGCTTTCTTATTTTTCCTCAAACCTTGGTGGCACTAACAATAAAGATCTGGCCACTGTTTGGGGACCGGTATTTTGAGAACACCAACTGTCATGCTGACAAATACTTTCTCCCTTTGCTACCTATTTTAAACTTAGTTTACAATTCTGGAGCCTTGTATTCTAAAAGCACCTACCATGACAGCATCCTAGCATGTAATTAAGGTTTCTACATACTTTTAAAAAAGCAAAATATGAAGAATAACCCAGGATTTTACCACACAATAAAGTTCTTATGGCCAGAGTTTAGTAATTTAGACTTGGGGTTAGCTATTTTATGTTAAAAGTGAGGACATAGTGTCTTGTGCTCACTAGATCTCATTTTATTTAATTTAAAAGAACTAGGCAATTTCCCCTCCCTTAGCACATAATGCAGATCATGGCTGAGAAGGATCTAAAGTAATGCTACAGCTGCTTAGCTCTTCCCTTGCACTAAGTTCTGCATTCATTTCTGCTCTAGTCTGTATTTCTATTTTATAATGAAACATACAGCCTAGTTATTTATAGGCTTTCTAAGGATTAACTACACACTCATAAGAATAAACCCTCAACAGGTTAACCTCATCCTCTTAAGCTTCACACACTACAATCCCAGAGATAGCTGGCAACCACAGCCAAAAGAAAAAATAATCCCACATCTTGCTAATCCTTTAGCCATCACCTCATGCAACAGTGGAGAGGCCTCTCGGAAGCCTACAACTCAATCTGTCTCAAGAGTACTGTCAATCCAAAAGATACATATTTCACAAAACTATTAGCAACCCACCTCAAAAGGCAAAATAAGACTTACCTGGCTACTCAGTGGTACACTAAAATCGTGCATCTAAAATGCAATGCTAAAAGATTCCAGCTTGCTGCTTATATTTCCTTATTCAGATATTTGCCTGTTCTACACATAAAACTACCTAGTTTATTAATTTGAAAGTAAATCTAACAAATTTTGCATTGTTTATATCTAGACATATCTATTTAACTGTCCCTTATACTTCCTAGCATGAACTTTGAGTACCTTTGCTCTCTCAAAAAAACCCCAAACAAACAAACCGCCCTTCAGGTTAAACCATGGTAATCTACCTAGTTCTTTCATACCATGATCTGGATCCTCCCTTAACCCCAAATGTGGACACTGCCTGCAGCTGCAGGAGTGCCAAGGAGTTAACAGGTGCACTTATCTTCGTAAGTCTAAGTTTTCTGTTTTGTGTATTATTTATCAAGCAAAATTGCGGCTTCATTCAACTTTAGTACAACAAATACTAAATGATGTAGTTTAAAAAAATTGGGAAGGAGGTTGTTTAGCTGCTCTGCTACCCCATAGCTGAAGTTAAAGCCTACAAGTACATGCAGAAAAAGTATAAGGCCAGAAGTATGACTGTTAATAACGAAATATCATGCACAGTTCTTTCCTGAAGTAAGAATTTTTAATCAACACAGAGGATTAGCACTGCCTAGAAGCTCACCAAGTCCAACTATGTAACTTTTTTTTTTAAATATGTCAATTCATTCATTCTCTTTTGTACATGCTTAACATATACTGATTCCAAAGCCTGTCTTTTGACTGTGTGGCTAAATTCTCTGAAAAATCTCAGTCCCATGAGACTACAAGTCCCTATCCTCACAGTCTGTCCTCTAATAAGCTTTCACCTTTTCAGCTGGAAATAAAAAAATATATAAAATAAACATAGTTCAAAATCATCTTGTATTTCAAAAGTTGTTCCCACTAATTAAAGGCTCTGTTCCCTTCCAGAACTCATATATGGCCCAGCAGCAACAGGAATTGCTCTAACTCAGCCAAGCCAATTGGGAAACTCTTGAATTATCTAGTGTCAAGAAACAATGGCCCGTAAAGACAGAAAGGAAGGAGGGGAAAAAAGTCAAACCCCAACAAAAATGCTGATCTTATCTAATCAGGAGAAACTACGCAAGCGAACATCAGCTAGGAAAATTAAACTTTCCTCCCAACCTCAAAATTTATTGTACATAAGTATCCTTGGTAGTATGACGCCAGAGGTTACTCAATTGCATCTTCTGCTGTTACAGATTGCTCCAGCATATTTGCATTTTGAAAAGAAGTTTCATGATCTTTCATGTTCATGATAGATGTCTAAACCGTTAAATTACTATTTCTTTTCTTATCTTGAAAGACACTGCACTTTAGCAGCATGGCCCTTCCATTGTTCTTTACACTAAGTTGGGCCCCTGAACAATACTGACAGCTGCTATCAAACTAGGCCGTGCTCACTCTCCGTGCAGCTGCCGCTTGTAGAAACAGACAGGCTTCTGATGTGTCCTCCCCTCTGGGGAGAGGGTTTGACACACTGCGTGCTCAGTGAGGGGGAGCAAAGGTCCACTGAATTGTCAACCCAATTTTATGCTATTCAGATTTTCCAGGATGCACACCGTCCCTTTCAAAGAAAATCAAGCATATGTCAGAGCATGAAACTTATTGTGTGGCACAAGATAATTATTGATCATGTAAGACTGTAAAAGATCACTGTGACATACATCTAATTTTACCATTATGTATATGCATGCATCTACATGGTCAAATAAACTTTGTGCCCAACATGTTCATTTCCTCATTTACAGTTTTGGATTTGTACGGCATCACTCAGAAGTCTTTCAGAAGACACAGGCAAGTATCTTTTCTGGTGAATCCTAGATAATTTTAAAACAAAAAAGGTGGAGGCTTCTATTCCTGCTTCCAAAGAGCTCCCCCCCCCAAAAAAAAGGTTCTTAATTGCATGTGGTACTTGTAGATCCTATTGCTTTTAAAAGACTATATTGTGCAGACTTTAAAAAGAGGTACATGACAAGCTTGAGATAGCAAAATTTGGTTTGCCTAAGTAGCATTACCCTAAGTCCAGCAAGAATGTTTTTAAATATATTTTAATACATACTTCCATTTACTGCACAAAATATTCTTTAAAAATAGTTCATTAAAAAGGGTTTTCCATTCCATTTTCATCCTAAAGAAGTAATTCATTTTAAAAGATGCAAGAAACTACAGTTCTCTAATCTTTTCTAATCAAACACCACAAATGTACATGTGCTGTATTTCAAAGATCAAATCAGGTATTCACAAAGTAATTCATTACGCAAGCAAAGCGTAGAGGAGATTGTGACAAATACAGACGTAATTATGTGGGTTTCTAAGATGTGATTAGCAAATCAACTAAGTAACAGTCAAAATTTGATACGAAGGGAAAAAACAGCGCAGATTTGAAGGGGGGGGTATGTTTATGCAAAGCTAAACTGTCAAGTGTAATAAAGCAGCTTGAATAAAATTTAAGCTGAAAATCCACTGAAGCTCCCCATTTCAGGAAGGAAAAGCTATTAAAAGGAAATGAAGGTCACCCTCCCAGTTTATTTCACCTAATTGACTGCCAATAGCTTACCACAGGCAAACCGACTGTAGATCTGCAATTGAGAAACTGATGAAAGGAGAGTTTTCAAGCTGACGCTCATTCTTTTAATCCTCCCTCACTCTTTTTTTTTTTTTTTCCATCTCCAGTTGGGATGTAATTTTAAGCACAGATGGATTAACTGGTTCCATTGTCTGTAGACGTCATTGGACTATGGCACTGTTAATCCGTACAGCAGCATGTCTAATTATCATTACAAAGTGTCTGAGGGAACTATAAAGACCAGCAGGGCATCTTCTCACAAGCAATTAACATAAATTGATAAATGAGTAATTTGAATCCGCTCAAAGCGCTCACATATGAATAAAATCAAAAAGGACGGGTTCTTGTTTCGGCTACTTCTTTCACTTAGTCTGGAAGGGCAGAAAACATGAGAAATATTCTAGACTTAGTGGCAGGGGAAATGAACTCATGCAGTGGAAGGAATGTATGGTTCAGAAAGTTCATTAATACAAAGCAAATGACTTGTGACTGACAACCAGTCACAAGCAAGTAGTATTAACTTATTTCAGCATATTTAGCAGCACATACTTGGTGAAAGGCTATTAGAACACTGTGTCAGACAATTAATACTACTTCAAAAGCAAGTGAAATTTCTCTTCAGTAGCTTGCAAATTTAAAATTCATGAAAGATTCACAAGAAAGGGAAAAAAAGAAGAATGAATACTTGTACAGGCTCCAAGAACAAGTGTCACAAAAAGCATGAGGCAAAGGTAACTAGATCAACTGACATACAAAACCTACAAACAAACAAGCAACTCTCCTAATCATTGTGTTTCTTCCTGGAAAAGTTTTGTTATGCACAGCATTGCTGCACAAAACTATTAACTTTATCCCTGCTAAAATCTGTGTGAATCAAGGTAAACACTTCAGCAACACTGGGCATCAAAACAGCTTTAGATATCAAAACATTAAGCTTATTTTAAAAATAACAAAGCAGTAAGATATGAAAGCAAGTTATACACACTGTAGGAGGTAGACCTGGAAGGCCACGTACCCCGATGATGGCATTCAGTTCGGCCATGGTCACTTGTTTGGCACGTTCTACAGCTTGGGCCACTTGCTGCTGATGCTGTTAAGAGAAGAAGGGGCATGGGGAGGAATTTGTGTTAAGGCATTGACCACATCAAGTCAAACCAGGATCACAAACACGTGAATAACCGGGTTGTCTGAAGAAGCTCAGGCTACCTATTGCAAGACACCTTAAGCAGGTAAAAGGTAACAGTGCCCTATTCCTCACCTGTTCAAGAGCAAACAAAAGCCCTGAAGGCAGCCAGCTCACCTCCTCGCCCATGCCACTTCAATATTAATTTTCTGGCAAATGAATAATCAGTTTCTAATTGAGTTGACAGGATGATAATGTCAACTTCACACTAGTGTCAATTTTAACATTTATATACTCTGCCCACACAGCAAAACCTACTGAAATTTCAAACAGGGAAGAAGCGCTTCACTGAACTCAACAAGAATTACAAATACTCTTTGTAAACTGTAGAGTTTGAAAAGGCATATCCAAAATAACAGGTTTCAAAATGTAACAGCAGCTGCCCACAATATGTTACAATTGCAGTCATTCAGACCAGATGCAGGTTTGTAACCTTAAACAGTGTTTTGCATCTGAGCTAACTACTCACCTTTTGCACTAAAAGTTGATACACATTATGTAGACAAGATAAGCATGCTTATTTCACTAGATTCACGTTTGACAACTGAATATCAAATAGGCAATCACCATGATTACAAATGAAAGCATTTTGTTGCATTGGTAATATTTTACAGACTCCCACTCTCCTCAGGCAATGAACGAGGCTGAGCCATTGTCACTAGTTTGAACTCAGATTTGTTAGACCAAATTAGCAGGGGGTTTGCGCACTTCAGCTATAACAGATGTTCCTTACACTTGTGTATTGTGATAAAATTAACATCTTAAAACTAGCTAATTTGCAAACAGAAAAGCAACATAATTGCACTTTAACAGCTGAACAGTTTTACTTACTTCCTGAGACAAAAATGGGATGACTTGTGCACAAATTGTATTCAATCTCTTGGCGATTTCTGTCTATAGAGGAAAAGTATTTTGATTAAAACTGTGGTTTAGGTTTGTTGCCATGTATTAACTAGTGTACAGGATTATATTAAGTTCACGCGATGACGAAAGTAACAAAAAAATCCACATCTTCATACTACTGCAAATATAAATAGTTAATATATAAGCCCAGATGAGGACAGTGATCTAGTTAGCTACTCTAGGACATCTGCCATGTCTAAAGCACCTAATCTGTATATACATTTAGGCATAAATCTGGTCCTTGTACATAGCTCATTAACAAGTAAAGCATTTTTTAAATCCATTAAGTCCAAGATAAAGCCTTTTAAAAGGTAGATTTATTATTACTCAAATTATCAAGCAGCACAACATGAAGGTAATAGGCATGGAAGAAAAATGTTTCTTTCATGATCAATTTTACCTGCCTATTAGAAAGGTAAAATTAGTTTTGCTGACAGAAACACACCATCAGAAGTACAAAAGAAATACCAAAACAGAAGCAAGGCAGAATGGAGACAAGAGGTACAGACTTCTAAAACATCCATATTGAGAGAATTAAAATAATGCAGACAAGAAAAAGAATCAGATCAGAAAATGTGACAGTCAATAACAGCAAATTAGTGAAACCATGAGTAACAGGAGAACAATAAGGCTAGGAACCAGCAGAGAACAGAACAATCCTTCACTGAAAATAGCAGAGAAGACAGCAGGACAAAGTCTTTTGAGTCCCACTTTTCAACAGCTTTATATATCTCCCACTTTCATATCTCCCACTTTCGGTATGTCAACTTGAACACAGGATTTCTGGTGGGGTACAGGGATCTTTTTCTCTCACTAGTCAGTCTTACCCGTGCTTACAGGTTTTCAGACCTATGCATTTGTGCACCATTCAGAACCACTATTATAATTAACCCTCAAGGTTCTTGCACAACTCCTACAGTTTTCCTTATAAATATCTCCCGCAGCCACTGTAGCGCACTTGCACAAAACCAAAATCAGCATCCAGATGTGAACCCAGTCTACATAAAAGACACTCTGAACAGCTCTTCACAGTCTCTGTCATATCATTAATCCATACAGATGCTTCTTGGGGGGGGGG